AATCTTGTTATAGGTAATTTTACAGACAGAATCTTGACAAGTATTCTAATGCACTGATGACATCCTTTCCTAAAGTGTTGGACACTTAGTAAAGTCACATATGTGCAGGAATGATGGGATGGCTCAATCTGAGTTCACTTCCTAGGACCCACATTGTGGAAGGCTAGAACCTGCTCCTTCAGGTGATTCTCTGATTTTTTTTTTTTTTTTTTTTTTTTTTTTTTTTTTTTTTTTTTTTTTAGATTTATTTATTGTGAATACAGTGTTCTGCCTGCCTATATGCATGCGGGCCAGAAGAGGGCACCAGATCTCATTATATCATTATAGATGGTTGTGAGCGGTGGGTCACATGTGGTTGCTGGGAATTGAACTCAGGACCTTTGGAAGGGCAGCAAGTGCTCTTAACCGCTGAGCCATCTCTGCAACCCCAACTCTCTGATCTTCACATGTAGGATCACACACAACATGTACTCCCATTCAGACACTCCATCATGGTAATGGCTTCAGTAGTCTCCTGCTTCCTGGAGTCTCGGGGCCACCATTCTGGCTCTCATCTACTCACATGCTCTTGATGGAAGAACCGACACCCTCTTTTGAGACAGTATCTCATGTACTCCAAGCTGACTTCAGACTGTGTGACCAAGGATGACCTTGTACTCATGATCCTCCTGCCTCCACCTCCTGAAAGCTGGGATTATAGGCCTGCACCACCATACCTGGTTTTATGCAGTGCTAGGGATGGAAGCCAGGGCCTAGTGTATGCTAGCCAAGTGGGCCACGTCTCCAGCGCCAGCCCTTCTCAGCCTCTTACCATGTATCTTACAACTACAATTGCTGGTGACATGGCAGAATGGGGAGTAGAGTCTTTCGAAGACCCTGAGCCAGTGATCCTCCACACTCAGTTGCTGCTTACACTTTCTGTTGAGGGTTTTGCTGTATGGGAAGAGTGCCTTGGTGGATTGGGGCCCAGGAGTGCTGCAGAGATCACACCACAAAACAGATGTCAAAAAAATAGTTTTTAGGGGTGTGGGGTGGGGAGTGGGGAGTAATACAAAGGTTGCCTCTGAGCCAGGGTGGAGGAGAAAGAGGGAGACAGAAACAGAGTGAGAATCATGCGGGGCAGTGATGGTGGGCTCTTAAAGGGGCAGTGTGTCAAATTTGGCTGCTGGTGATGACAGGGCTCCTGGCACTGAGTCACTGAAGGTGGGCTGGGTTGGGGCACTTGGTTCCTAACACTTTGCCTTATGAAACCCCCACGAAGATAGCCAGGGTGTTCCCATAGAACACAAGCTGCAGGCTGGGCTCAGTAGAGTGCTGGCCTGATGTGTGAGGCTCTGGGTCGCGTCCTTAGCCCTGCACAAACAGAACCGAGCTGAGGCCTTAATCGTAGCATTTGAAGGCTGTGTGAGGATTGCTTCAAATTTAGGTCCAGCCTGTGAGATAGTAAGTTCTAAGCTAGCCCAAGCTGTAGAGTAAGACTCTGGGGACCTTGGTCAACAAATGTCCCCAAGTTACAACCACAAACTGTTAGCCACTGCCTCAAAATTGTCCCATTCAGAATGAAGGCTGGGGATTTCTTGTCTCACAGGGGCTAAAAAAGCCGGTTGTCAAAGTCGTCGTATTTTTGGCTGGGGTCATGGCTTAGCAGTAGAATGCATACTTAGTATGGGTGGGAGCCTGTGTCACCCTAGCGCCCAACAAACAACAAAGAACATCACATATCTCTGTTTCTGCTGAGGCCAGAGTATAGTGGTTGTGTGACCAGGTCCTGGCAGTTATTTATTTATTGTGTGTATGTATGTATGTGGACATGCATGTACCATAGCACTGGTGTGGAGGTCAAAGGATAATTTTGCAGAAGTTAATTTCTCCTTTCCCTATTGAGGTTCTGGGCACTGAACTCAGATCATCAGGCTTGATGGCAAGCCCCTTTTACCTGCTGAGCCGCCTCTCCTAGCTAGACATTTTTTATTGCCTTTGGAGTTGTGGACAAGTGTTGGAATGGGAACCCCAGAACAAGTTTCACTTTTCCAAATGTGTATAATTCTAGGTTTATGGAAAAGGTGCCAATGAGACTTTTATATCCTCATAAATTCAAAATATTCAGTTTTGCTAAAAGATAAACAAACTCTTCAAGCAACTTAAAATTCCAGCCCAGGGGCAAGGGCTGGGCTCAGTTGCTTAGAGTGCCCCCATGCACTAACCCTGGCTTCCATCCCCAGGACTGTGTAAAAGGCCTGGTGGTGCATGTCAAGAATCCTACCACTTGGGAGGTGGTGGCAGAAGGATCAGGAGTTTCAAGATCATCCTCAGCTACCTAGCTCATACAAGTGTGAGGATAGCCTGGGCTACATGGACCCTGTCTCAAATTCCAATCTAACAAATGGACCTCTGTGTCTCAGTGCTGCTCCAAGCCTTCAAGGCTTAGCCTGTCTTTTAAGTTTTGCTTCTTTTCTTCATCTTGTGGAGCACAGGACAGATTGAGGGTACATGGTTTCCTGACCTGCTTTCCAGAAATTATTCATCGGACCAGGTGGCTGGGTTTTTTTCTCCTGACATGGACTCTGTTTGAGGTGGACCCAGGTAGACTTGTTGAAGAAAGGGGGAGGGTAATAAAGAACTCCAAAGAGTGGAAGAAGTTCCCAGGGCAGAACACTTAATTTCTCATTTCTTTAACAATTTAATTTTGAATTTGAAAACTTGTTTTCATGTGTATGGGGTTTATTTTTTGCCTGCCTGTATGTCCATGTACCACATGTGTCCTTGGAGACCAGAAGAAGGCATTGGATCACCTGAAAGTGGAGTAACTGGTGGTTGTGAGCCATTATGTGGATGCTCAGAACCAAATTCAGGTCCTCTGCAAGAAGTGCTCTTACTTGCTGAGCCTTTTCTCTAGCCCCCTATTTTTAAAAACTATGTGTGGAAGGAGGGCATCTGTGTGTGTGAGTGCAGGCGCCTGCAGAGGCCAGAAGCCTCAAATCCCCTGGAGCTTGAGGAACAGGTAGTTTTAAGCCACCCAGCATAGGTGAGTGCAACCAAACTTGGGTTCTCTACATGAGCAGTGAGCCCTAACCACAAAGCCATTTATGATTGTTTCTTTTTGAGACAGGGTTTCCCTATATAGCCCTGGCTGTCCTGGAACTCACTATGTAGACCATGAGGCCTTGAACTCAGAGATCCTCCTGCCTCTGCCTCAGGAGTACTGGGATTAAAGTCATGTGCCATCATGCCCAGCTATTTTCAGCCAAGTTTAATAAAAAAGAAATATGCTGGGGCAGGTGGCTTACATCTTTCATCTCAGCACTCAGGAAGCAGAGGCAAGCTAATCACCACAAGTTCAAAGCCATCCAGTACAGCAACAGCAAGGATTCAAGACTAAAAGAAAGGAAAGAAAAAGAAAAGAACTCCAAATCAATTCTATCATTTGAAAGTGCTTGTTTTAGGTGTGTGTGTGTGTGTGTGTGTGTGTGTGTGTGTGTGTGTATCCCAGAGGTATTATTGGGATGTCTTCCTCAATTTCTTCTTCACTTTATTCTCTTAGGCATATTGTCACTGAACTTGGAACTCAATGTATTAGCCAGACTGCTTGTAGTGCTTGGGTTAGATCAGGTAGCCATATTTTACATAGGTGTTTGGATCCAAGCTCAGGTCCTTATGCTTGCAGAGCCAACACTTAACCCATTGAACTATCTCTCCAGGCTTCCTACCATTTTTCTTTTTAATTTCTGAAGTCATGGGGATAGAGAATTCGGTTTCTAATATTGATGTCAGAAGGCTCACAGTTGCCGGTTACCACTTTCCCCCAGGATATCCGGTGCCACCTTCTGGCATCAGTGGGCACCACAGACACATGACATACATTTACACAAACATATCCACATATACACTAATAAAACTTAAGTCAACCATATCTTTTGTCAAACCCATTTTTTTTTTTTTAACAGAACGTGAAATGCAACCTTTTTAGCAGTGAGTCTATGTTTCGACAGGAGTTGTTGAAGAAACAAACCTACACTGGAGTACAGGTAGTACAATTAATAAATAAAATCTTTGATTTTCTACACTCAGAAAAGATTGGGCATTCTGCGAGAAGTAGCATCCACCCAGGACGGAGCAATACTGCGTGGAGATGAGTTTAAGCCAATAAAAAGTCTTTATTAGCTGGCCTACGACTACACTGGGTGTTTGGGATCCCAGTGTAGCCCTGATCCTTTCTCGGGGTGAGCTTTTAAGCACAAAGAACATATCCTTGTTGACCTACTTCAGTTAACAAGAACAGTTAGCTTAGCCAAGAGCAGAACTACAGAAGCCCAAAGGCAAGGTTAGTACATTTAGAGGCTTTCCCAGAAATATGGGCTTTGATGGGTTAGGTCTTTGTTTTAGTTTTGCTGTTGGTGCTGGAGTCAGTTATTCAAGAACCGGGGACCAGTTACATGCTTTATGATTTTCTTTGTCCTGCTATTGTAATAACTTCGTGAAACAGTTACCATATTTGCATGTGGAATTTGCGGTTTGAATCTATTCCTGGGCTATTTTTGGATCTCTGACACAAAGGCTCACTATGCAGGCTAGCCCCAAACTCAGAGATCTCTCTGCCTCTGCCTCCTGAATGCTGGAATTAAAGGCACCATGCCTTGGCTAAGGTCAGAACAAGAGGGAGGGAGCAAAAGAGAGGGAGGAGCAAAAGAGAGAAGAGAGGGAGCAAAAGTAAGGAGAAAAAAAGGAGGGTGGGAGGGAAGGGGAAAGGGAGAGAGGCTTAAGACTTAGGTCAGGGGTGGTGGAGTTAGGGACTACTGTGTGCCACCACGTGGGTGCTGGAAATTAAAGGTAGGTCCTCTGCACGAGCATCCCATGAGCCATTTCCCTATCTCCTAGAAATTTATCTCTATCCAAGACATATGAACACCCGAATCTCCCGGGCTACAAGCCAGGAAGGAAGCGGAAGTGACGCCAGGAAAGGCCCGTTTCTTTTCTAGTGATGTCTGGGTCCTGTAGTTGGGGTGAATTTTTTCACCTCCGGTCCATCTTCACTCCTAGGGAGTCGCTGAGGTGGGGGTGACGGCGGCCTTGGAGGGTCAGTTTAAGGCGTGGCTGTGTCTGTAGCCTGCCGAGAGGCTGTTTCCATAGGCCTGGAGCCCGGGACAGGCGGGGTGTCCCGGGCACCCCGCCTCCGTCCGGCCGCGGCGAATGCTCTCTGAGCCTCCATCTGCTCGGGCCCCTCTGCAGAAGCCTTCCCAGCAGCCTTCCAGTTTCCCCCTCCGGGACAGAACTCCGCTACTCGGCATCGCCCTTGCAGCCCGCGCCTCCTCCGCTCGACCCAGCGCTTGTGGACTTCGGGTGAGCGCCTCGGGCTGCGATTTGTGAAGGAGCGGTTCCTCGCAGAGTGTGGCTTTGTCTTTGGCAGCGCCTGTTTAATTCTGTCACATGACATTCGGGTAGAAAAAGTATTCTTAGGTACCTAGGGGTAAACATTTCTATTTGGGGGTGAATGCTTGTTCATATTTTTTGGCCTGGGGGAACTCGATAGGTAGATCAGGCTGGCTTCGACTCACGGAGACCCGCCTGCCTCTGCTGGGAGTAAAGGCGTGCACCACCGTACCCTGCTGAAGGGTTATTTCCTTAATTTTTCCTTTCCTTTTTTCCTTCCTTCCTGTTCCGTGCGGTGCTTCTCTACTCCCTCCCTTTCCTTTCTCTCTTCCCCTCTCCTCCTCTTCACTTTACTGATAGTAAAACAGCTCGTTCACTGGGCTGCACACCCCAGCCGTGAATATTTTTTAAATAAATGTACAGATACTGTGTGACTATGGCTTTCTACTGGTTAGAAAACGAGCGTACTGTACGCTCTTCATCTGAAGTTCCTAGGCCCAGGCATCCTTATAGAGTTTGTTTGTTTGTTTGTTTTTTTTTTAATATTTTTTTATTTATTTATTTAACTTTATGTGCATTAGTGTGAAGGTGTCAGATCCCTTGGAATAAGCATTACAGACAGTTGTGAGCTGCCATGTGGGTGCTGGGACTTGAACCCGGGTCCTTGGGAAGGACAGACAGTGCCCTTAACCACAGAGCCATCTCTCCAGCGCCCCCCCCCCCCAAGTTTTTTAAAAACTGGAACTACCCTGGTTCAGAGGTCAGAGATCAGTTTTCAGGAGGCCGTTCTTGCTTTCCACCAAGTGGGTCTGGAAATCAAACAGGCTTTGTGGCTTGGCCTTTACTCACCATGGCCTCTGTTCTTTGGTCTCATGTAGCCCAGGCTGCCTTCAGCTTTGCTATGTAATTGAGGCTGACCCTGAATTTCCTCCAGACTTTACATCCCTGGTGTTGGGATTTCTGGTATTTGGTACCATGCCTGGCTCTATAGTAACTTTTGAAGATTCTCACATTCTTTAAGAAAGTCACACAGTATAGTTTTCTCTCTTCTTTTATTTCTCTGTCCCTCTTTGTTTACTGTACATAAAGTAACTATTGTATGTATACAAGCGTATTGCTTTTCTTTTTTAAACTAAATGGCCAATGTTTTGTTTTGGTCAGCATCAGATGGAGATGCTCTGGGGGAAAGTGCTGGTTCTGTGAAAATCTCGCCCTTTCTCCATTAGTGCTGTGTTCATTCAGCCCTTATCTTTATATTCCAGTAAGTTATTCTGCTCTTGTTGTTTTAACGAAAGAACCCAACACCGTAAAATCCTTGCATACCTTATTCAGTTGCAGAATTTTAATGTTTTTCATTTGTCATTGTAAAATCAAGGACAATTTTATAACTTTTGATATGATAGCTGTTACATGTAGGGCAATCTGTCTTAAAGTAGGAATAAATTGCTCTTGAACAAAATGATCCTAGACAGTTTTCCCTTCAAGTCTTGTTTAAATAAACTTTTTGTTTAAAAAAAAAAAGTAGCACAATACTAGTTATATCAAGTCTTTCGTGTTAGTATTCATTTCTGAACTTCTAAGAAACACTGTTATTACGTCTGTTCTATTGTGTATTTGGATGGGGACTTCCAGGACACTCCAATTACTTCTTTTTCTTCAGTTTTCTCTTGACTTTTGAGATTATAATTACATCATTCTTCCTTTTCTTTTCCTTTCTCCAAATGCTCCCATATGTCTGTCCTTGTTCTCTTTCGAATTATTGCCTCTTTCTTTTTCATTAATTAATTAATTAATACATACACATAAATGCATGGTGTCCTCAGCAATAAGGACTTCTTTCTACCCCTGAGGGGCAAGCAATGGCAGTAGCAATAGCCTTTATGTTTTAGGAGTCTGGTGGATAATCCAACCAACAACTCAAAAGAAGACGTCTTCTGCCTGGTTTGGGGTTTTTGTTAGGTGTTCGTTTGTTCTTGGAGGGACCCCAAATGAGAAAATTTCATTTTAACCACATATGTGTATTTATATTACAGACTTATGTAAATTATAGGATTTTTTAAAGGTGAATAGTGAATAGTATGATTTCTTATTTTACCCTCCTTTCTCCTCCTGTATTTTCTCCCTCCCTCTTTCTAATTAAAGCCCTCCAACCCCATTTTTCCTATTTCCCATTTCAGATCACTTATACTCTGCTATTCTTTCTATTACTACCCCACTTTCCTGACTCTGGCAGTGATCCTGTTTACTTTCGTGGTTTCTGCAGTAACTCCAGGTAATATACTCATATCTGAAGATTTGGAACGAGAAGCCTTGGATGAGAGAGAACATGTGAGGTTCATCTTTCTGGGTCTTGTATACCTTACTCACTGTGATTTTTTTGTTGTTGTTGTTTCATCCATTAATCTGCAAAGTTGATGATTTTATTTTATTTTCTTCACAGCTGAATACCATTGCATAAGGCATATGTGCCACATTTTCATTATCCATTTGTCAGTTGAAGGACATTTAGATTGTTTCCAGATTCTAGCTATTGTGAACAGAGCAGCAATGAGCACGACGGAGCAAGTGTTTGTGGAGTAGGATGTCAAGTCCTTTGGTCATATGCTGAGGAGTGATATAGCTGTGGCATATGGTCCATTTATTTTAGCTTTTTGAGTTCTCCACATTTGAGACAGGAAGTCGTGGCACACACCTTTGTAAGTAGAGGCAGGCAGATCTCAGAGTTCCGAGGCAAGCTTAGTCTACAGAGCAAGTTTCAGGACAACCAGGACTACACAGAGAAAACCTAAAATGTTAATCATTCCTAGCAATTAGGAAAAAGCAAGTCAACATTGATAGCAAAGATCAACCACCAACAAATGCTGAACAGTGTGTGGGGGAAAAAAAGGAACCCTCCTTCACTGTTGGTGGGCTAGTAAACAGGGTGAGCTCTCCAGCACTGCCCTGGCTACCTCATACAATGCTGCAGCCAGCAAAGGGCAGAGCCAGCTCTCCCACTTTCATGCCCATAGGGCAATCTCCTGAGTGCTGCAGCCAGTGAGGGGCAGGGCCAACTCTCCAACTCTCACACCCTCAGGGCTGGCTCACCAGCAGCCCTCACAACCAGGGTCAGCTCTACTGTAGTGCCCACTCTCCCAAGTGCTTCAGCCAGTGAGGGGTAACGACATCTCTTCTACTCTCATGATCCTGAGCCAGCGCTCCCTTTTGCTGAAGGTGGTGAGGGGCAATGGTGGGGGAGGGCATCTTTCCTCACTCATGCCACCACACTGAAGACAAGTGACAGGGGCCGACTTTTCCATGCTCACACCCTCAGAGCTGGCTTACCCATAACTCCCGAAACCAGGGCCAGCTGTACTATATGTGCTTCCTGGGCAAGCTGCACAGGCTTGCTTTCCTGAATACTACAGCTGGCAAGGGGTAGGCCGGCTCTCCTGCTCTCACACCTTCAGGGCCAGCTCTCCCAAGAGGCTCATACAAGGAATGGGGCCAGCTCTGCACAGCCCTTAGACATCAATATAGCCCCAAAGGGCAGCCCAGACCAGGGATGTCCGCTTGGCCTTTGGTAGTAACAGACCCACTGCTGCAGGGCCACAGACACAGACGTGGCCATTAGTGGTAGCATGGGCCAGAACTTCACCGTGGCCTTAGGTGACTTCACAGGCTATTCACATCAGGCTGAGTCTCCAGTTCTGCTTCTCTTCTTGGTACACATCCTTCTGTTTCTCCTTCTCTTCTGTCTCTCCAGCACTTGCTTCATCATCTTAGTGGCATGTGGAGCCTCTGGGTGTCTGGGGTTGTCTCAGGCCTGTGTTGTGTGGCACCAGGCAGGGGTCTCAGGCGTGGTCTGCTCACTGAGGCCTGTGTGGCACCTGAATGGGCACTATCTCAGGCTTGCTCCCAGCCTGGGCCGTGTGATGATGGGCTGGGTGTTGTCGCCCATTCTCAGTCTTACAGCAAGTTCAAAGCTGGACTGGGCTCCATGAGACTTTGTTTCAACAAAAGAAAAATATTGACTTCACAGAAGTGATCCGTTAATCGATAGGACTTGTGAAAGTCACTACTATATTGTACAGTACAGGTCTAGGCTGACTTCTAATTATATTGAGGCATGAATAACAGTTACAGTAAATCAAAGCCAGGCATGGCTGCTGCACATACCTTTCTTTAATCCCAGCACTTGGAAAACTGAGGCAAGAGAATATCTAGTTCCAGTCTTAGAAAACAAAACATGATAGAAGATCAGAACTTTGCAACAACTTCCTGCATTGGACCTAAATTCACCAGTATGTAACTATCGTAGTGAAACAGTTACTTGTAGCATCTAGACCTGTTTTTCTGTTATGTGTACTTTGAAGTGTTGGTGGGTTAAACAGGTTTATATAGGACCAGCAAGATGACTCAGCAGGTAAAGACATTTGCCCAAAGCCAGATGACCTAGGCTTAATCCACCAAATCCATATGGTGGCAGGAGAGAACCAATTTAAGTTACGCTCGCACACTGGTCTTCAGTAAGTGGCAGTGTTATTAGTAATACCCTATTACAAGCTGCACTGTCTTTAGTAGCTTTTGCTTACAGCATATGTGGAGAGTGAGCTCATATATGATAATGAACTACTGCTTCTGGATGATTGGTCGGAAGAAGTGTAGAGTTTCACCATCCCTTAAGTCCTCTGAACAAGATGTCTGTGATCCAGGTCTGAACGGTCATACTACCCTGCTTAGTGTACTTTAGGGACACTTGGTAGACTGGTGAATGCTTGTTGTTGGTTGTTAGTTTTCTGTTGCTATGATGAGACCCCTGGCATTGGAGTTAAGCTGGGGTCAGTTGGTAAGCCAGTTGCCTAGCATGCCCAAAGACCCTGGTTCCATCCAGCACCACATAAGCCAAGTATGGTAGTTTACAACTCTAATTCCAGGACTTGGGAGGTAGAGGCAGGAAGATTAGAAATTCAAGTTTATCCTTGGCTACATATCAAGCTTGAGACCAGCCCAGACTACATGAGACCTTGTCTCAAGACAAAGAAAAACTTGACATCAGAAAAAATGTTTTTTGCTCTGTGTTTCAGAGGTTTAAATCCAGGCTCACTTGGCCCTGTTTCTGGGCCTGTAGTGAGGCAGAACATCATGGTGGGAAAGGTACTGTGGAGCAGAGCTGCTCACCTCACAGCAGCCAGGACATAGGTCAGAACAAGAGGAAGAGTCAGAATAAACCCTTTCCCCTTAAGTTACTTTTGTCAGAGTATTTTATCACGCAACAGGAAAGGGGACTGTGGCAGACAGAATGATATCAAGGCATGTAAGAATTAAAGGAGACTTTGGTTTCTCGTGTCCTCTCGTGTCTTTTCCAGGAACTCTTTGTAGGGACTCAGACTCTATTCTTGAAGAAAAGACAAAGGTAGAAAAGATGGTGGCTGATTGCCTGACAAATTGTTACCAGGTACGTAAGAACTGTGTCTCACAGGTGACATGCTTTACCCCTACCTTGTAAATACACCTTCAGGGCAGACATGTCCAGAGCTTCTAAAACAAGTAGAAGCCCCCTCAAGAACTGCATTTCTGAGTGAGTGGAACCATGGGCCTCTGCAAGTGGTTGAGGTATTAATGAAAAACATCCCAGGATTTCAGTAATTTCTAATTAATCTTTATACTGTAGGTGTCAAATGCACATTAATAGTGTCCATTTTAGTTCAGTTATTCTGACAGGTGAAAAGAAAAATCTAGTGTTTTTTTTTTGTTTTTTGTTTTTTTTTAAGATTTATTTATTATGTATAGTATTCTGCCTGCATGTACACCTGCATGCCAGAAGAGGGCTCCAGATCTCATTGTAGATGGTATATACTCACTCATATAGACATATAATGTAGGATAAAACTACTAAAATCTGTACACCTAAAGAAACTAATCAAGAGGGAGGACTCTGGCTAAAATGCTCAATCCCCATCCAGAAGGGCAAAGAGGATGGACATCAGAAGAAGGAGAAAACAGGGAACAAGTTAGGAGCCTCCCACAGAGGGCCTCTGAAAGGCTCTGCCCTGCAGACTATCAAAGCAGATGCTGAGACTTATGGCCAACCTCTGGGCAGAGTGCAGGGAATCTTAGGAAAGAAGTGGGAAATAGTAGGATCTGGAGAGGACAGGAGGTCCACAAGGAGAGCAACAGAACCAAAAAATCCTAGCACAGGGGTCTTTCCTGAGAATCATACTCCAACCACGTACCATGCATGGAGATAACCTAGAATCCCTGCACAGATGTAGCCCATGGCAGTTCGGTGTCCAAGTGGGTTCCATAGTAATGGGAACAGGGACAGTCTCTGACATGAACTCAGGGGCTGGCTCTTTAATCACCTCCCCCAGAGGGGGAAGCAGCCTTACCAGGCCACAGAGGAAGACGATGCAGCCACTCCTGATGAGACCTAATAGACTAGGCTCAGAAGGAAGGAAAAGAAGACCTCCTCTATCAGTAGACTTGGAGAGGGTCATGTGTGGAGAAGGGGGAAGAATGGAGGGATTGGGAGGGGAGGAGAGAGGGAGCTACAGGGGGATACAAAGTGAATAAAGTGTAATTAATAAAAAAAATTTAAAAAAAAAGGTTTATTATGTATAGTGTTCTGCCTGCATGTACACCTGCACGCCAGAAGAGGGCACCAGATCTCATTGTAGATGGTTGTGAGCCACCATGTGGTTGCTGGGAATTGAACTCAGGACCTCTGGAAAAGCAGCCAGCACTCTTAACCTCTGAGCTGTCTCTTGAGCCCACTACTGTTCTTTTCTTGGAGTACTTATTTATCATTGTTAAGGTAGTATATGCAGTGTACTTAGAAGAAGATTTTTAAAAATTGAGAGAAGGGCTTTTAGTCTGGTTGTGGCAAGGTCTCTTCACCTGTCAGAAGGGTTATCAGTAGTAAATGACGGGAGCAGTTCAACACTTTGAGTGTAGATGAGGGGTGGGGATTGGAACCACTGAGCCCTGGGGTAGTGAGCAAAGCTGTCAGATTTCCGTATGGGTACTGGGTCTCACTTCTTCAACTGCAGAAACATTGGTGCATAAGTTATTGTTACTCAAGTGGTGTGTGTGTGTGTGTGTGTGTGTGTGTGTGTGTGTGTGTGTGTGTG